AAATGTGAATTAACTAGTTTCGCTTCCACTAGTAACCTGCAATTATTTATAGGATTTTTTAATTTTGTCATAAAACGCAATATTATTAATTATTAAGCCTCAATTTACCATAACAGAGAATAGGGTAAGAGATCCTTACCCCAATCGGTGTTCTGAGATGTCGCGCTGCCTACTATATCTCCTAACGATTACCGAATTTTCTGAAAGTTTTTTGCAAAATCCAAAACACTCGTAACATACTTAAAAATACTCTGGAAATCTAAAATCGATGTCCAAAACTGATTCCGGCCAATTTTGGGATTCCAGCATGGCCGCGCCACCGTGCTTTGGCGCTGATTCCGCCATCCACAATGGTGATTCACCTTTTCCTAGTTGGTTTTGGCCCTTTTTGGGCAGTTTTGGTAGTATCCCTATAGAAAAACATATTAGGGGCCTCGGTTGGTTGAAAAATCATAAAAAACCGAACCTATCGGTGGTGGCGGGACTTCCAGGTGCGGCAGCTTTGCCAGTCCTCCTTCGCGGCTGAGATTCTTTCTTTGTGTCATGATGATGAACACAACGATCAAAAAATCATGTGAAACAAGAATCAGAAAAGGGCTCATCGGAGGGGTTTTGGGATTTTGGCTGCGGCGGCTCTGTCGGGCTTCGCCTGCGATTTTCGATTCACCTACCATTTTTTTACTCCGATTTCACCACAGGGGTGCTCAGAATTGAATTCTGAGCAGGTATGGAGAATTTTTACATTTTTTGGCAGTCAGTAGTGGCTCCAGTGCGGCGGCGGTTGGCGGTCAGCCTCTTTCTCCGACGTCTGGGTTTTCTTTTTCAGAAGGGGCTGGCGGATAGGGTTTAGGTTTTTGTGTGATGTGAAATATTTATATCCATCTCATATTGATCTGAGATATCAATTGCGATCGATCTCATCTGTCCGATCATGCCAAAGGAAAAAAATGAATCTGGACCGTCCGATCGCCCGTGTGGCATCCCACGTGGCACTGATGTCAGCACGACTCGTCACGCAGAATTCTCCAGTTCATCGGGACTGCTGACTGGGCAATCCTACATGTCACAATTTTTTTCTATTTGCACCATGATTCCCTGTTTCGAAGTTTTTCTTTTCATAAACACCCGCGAAACCCAATTTTCTCTCATTTTCCC